TGCCTTGAGAAGACTATCGACGGGGCGCTGTTTCTAGTAAATTAATAAATATTGATCGAGTAAGCGCTGCCTTATGTTTCTTATGACGGTTGACTGGGAGTTAGTCGGCAGCTAAACACTGTTCTTATTCAGCTACATTTGAGGCTGACAAGGCGCTACTTACTGGAAGAGAACGCGACCAATTGACATGCACAAGTAAGTATTTAGAGGATGTTGAGGGCATTTAATATCTTGAAGTACGGTACACTCTTTCTAAAAGAAACCTCGATTTCGGTATGAAAAGATTTCAAAACCACCGTGTAGCACCAATTACCATTATGGCGGACCTTTAGCGGCGATTAAAGCCACGGGCAGACCTCAGCCACTACAGCCATCAGGCCAAATGCTGAACAGTAAGATAAGTTGAAACGTTAGTTGGGAGGATATCGTAGTATGCACAGGACACCCTAGATGTTGGTAGAAGTTGGCCGTTTGACGAGGGCACATTTAGCACCGCGGGGACGGTCTCCGAAGGATATCAGACAGTGGCGGAGAACGGGGGTTGCCAATCACAATTTGCAAAGTCATGTCTAAGTCGTCCTTGAAGATGATTGGCCAATTTACACAGCCGGGGCCCGCCGAGAACAGGACTGCAGTTGGCGTACACGAGTAAGTAGTCGAGAGAGACCCAGCGTTACAACATGTGATCAGGGTTGGACCACTAAAGATCTCCAATTCAGATAGTGAAAAGTATGATCATAGTCAGTGGAATACTCGTAATTATTTGTGCTTATTCGAAATATGATATGGCGTGGATGAAGGTTTGGATTATTGGAAATGTTAAAAAGCCCCCAGTTTGCCAGTCTGAGATATTTCCGCTTACTGCCCCTTTTGTGTGCACGGAATGTCGTGACTATCTCAATTGATCGCTTAGGTTTATCTAATGTAAAAAAATATTCTTTAGTGCGTGGAATGCCCGAAGGGTGGGCATATCTTTTGCCCTAAATAGTGCTATCATCCAGTCTACCGTGTGTAAGGTCGTGGCATCATGCCACTCAAGTAGACGTCGCTTGAGTTAGCAAAAAATCCACGATGAGTTTTAAAAAGACGCCGTCGGTGAAGTGACCTTTCTGCTTCAGCCGAAATTCTAAGACCAAAACAGAAAAAGCCGTGTGCTCAACTCCCTCAGATTGACTGTAAAAGGTTTATAAATGAGTGCCTTCTTTACTCAAAACCGATGAATCCGAGTTTATTTTACCGAAGTATAATTTTTTGTCCGACACCTGATGCAAAAATGTGTAGGTCCCAGTTATTTCTTTCTCATTCAAAATTGTTAAGGTGTTTCTTTCTACGTAGTATATGCTTGTTAATATGTTCTATGGACAATATGTCGATTTAGATTGTCAGTGTTTGAACATAAATAGCCGGCAAATAAATGGACACTGTATTGTTCATTGTGGAGTAATTTGAGTTGAGTGTGTTGCCAACCACGAAAGTGCTCTAACGGTATACGCGTCGGATCTGGCAAACGTTAATCGATAACCTTGTTTACAAAATCGCAAAAAATAAGGAAAGTGACGTGACTTTTCAGGAAAGGATTTGGCCGACTGCTAACACGTGACATGGGTGCTGAAACTATCACATATTTTGAATGTGTGGTCGTGTAAAAATTAAGGCTTATGCACACCTCTATGTCCAGGGCGCTCGCCTGCTAATGCTTGTGGATACGTGTTTTGCACGCATCGGATGTCCGACAACTGATGCAAAAACGTTTAGGTCCCAGTTATTTCTTTCTCATTCAAAATCTTTTAGGTGTTTTTTTTTATCTACGAAGTACCTGTTTGTTAATAGGTTTTATGAACAATTTGTTTCTTTTGATTGTCTGTGTTTGAAAATCAATAACCGAAAAATAAAGGAACACTATATTCTTGATTGTGGAGTGATTTGACATTGTGAGACCGAAAAACGTCAACCTCAAAATGGATCGTAGCGGTGTGGATAGGTGTCGGTTTGTCAGCACTAATTTATTATGAACGCAGAACAACTAAAAGCATATTCGCAATGTGTTTGAACCGACAGACAATGCTAAAAAGGGGCGGGAATAGACAGCTTTCGCTTAATTTTCTTTGGACCATTACAATTAAATGGGAACGTGGTAGAAGCAAAAACATGTCGGTGGTAAGAGAAATCGATTAAAGTTCTCCTTAAAACACAGGCGGGTTTGGGATTAAGGGGAAGGGGGGTAATAGCAGTCATTGTTAAAGATGTTAGTGAGAGCGGAAGGGTACGAATAATTGCAGCGTTAGTCGACCCCTCCACCGCGTCATGTGCGGAGCCTGAACGTGGTTCTTCTGTACGCATAAGATTGGCTTTCGCAACCTAGTGGCCTCCGCTTTTGCTACTACTAACATGCACTAGTCCAGTAACTAAGTGTAGTATAAAAAATCCCAAAAAAGCTATTGAGCTGTTAAAAGGATGTCCCCAACGTAGGGTGGTTACTTCGCAATTGAAGTATGCGTCTGGTATTAGTCGCCTTGCGGTATACCGCAGTTCTTATCCTCCTACTAACCGTTCTTCCAACATTCACGTCGAGGAAGGGCAATTGGTTATTGTTCTCCTCTTCCATTGTAAATGGGATGTCGGGGAATATTGAGTTGAGTAAGACTTTGAAGTTTTGAACCACTAGTCTTCCGTCCGTACTCCACAAAATTCTGGTCTTGATATGTCGTCGACGCATTTGTCGTTATCAGGAGGAACGACGTTCAGAACTTCAAGGTCTTACTGAACTGAATGTTCCCCGACATCCAATTTACAATGGAAGATGAGAACAACAACCAATTGCCCTTCCCCGACGTGAATGTTGCACGGACGGTTAGTAGGAGGATAAGAACTGCGGTATACCGCAAGGCGACTAATACCAGACGCATACTCCAATTCCGAAGTAACCACCCTACTGGTCTATCTATTATTTGATTTGTCGCCAATTCCCTTTGATTGCCGTTTATTCGTAAGCATTAAATTTGCACGCCTCGGTCTTTCCTATGGGTCAGCCTGTTAAAATCGGCGAGGGGAAGGAAAGACCAGTGAACCATTCGATCTTCATTACTACCCCGTCAGAAAACAATGTGTGCGTATCAGAGACACAAAGGATAACAGAATTTCACATTTCTTTCCACCTGTGAATGACTCTCTCCTGACAACCGATGTTTGAGGATGTCTTCATACTCAGCCGTTAACAGGAGACCCACGGTGTATCACAAATATTAAGTGAATGTATACTGACATTCAAATCTTCCTAAGTAGAAAGTTTGACACATCAACAGAACCAACGCACGTGCTTTTTGACTGCGCTTGTTAATGTATTTGACGAAACCCTTGATGCTCACTCGAATTTTCGATTTTCCACTATACTATACTATATGACTCCCGAGTACTCTAGCAATGTGGGATAGAGAATTAATCATAACGATTTGCCGAACGATTCTACACTTGAATCCACCCACTGTGTCCGGAATTCTTTTCTGAAAATGTTAACGAACGAATCGTATTTGAAGTTTGCACATGCTTTTATAACACCAAAGATGCAATTAGTTGTTGACATGGTTTTTCAAAGAGCACAATGCATAAAACACACATTAAGCAAGAACGCAAATGAGATATCGCAGTCTCAATGGGGTTCCTTTCTTTGATAATTGTACCCACCACCCGTAACACGCATTCCACACGAGGAACACTCAGTGATTATTCAATTTGGCGCGTTCTGCATCTAGAAGGATAAATACAGGTCAACCTTTATTTCCAAAATTGACACATCCAAAATATTCGTGTTTATGCACTGAAATGTTAGTTTTTATGTCGATCGTCAATGACTAAGTATTTGTGGAGTAGAATGCAATTACTGCACTTTCAGTTCCGTTACCATCTTAGGTGAATTCAATACAAGATGAACTTGGTTAGGCAGCATTTTAAACATTATCGCTGAGCAATTTTCTAGACACAAGTATGCCTGCCTTGAGGCGTAATTCATAAACGCCCTGCCTTAACGAAGAGTCGAAAGATAGGTATTTAATATTTGGCTGTCAATAATACACTCTCTACATATTAGGTAGTTGCTAATACCTATAGCTCATGTGCGAAAGAGTCCACTTGTATTGAAGTAATGTCAAAATGTAAAAGAAACCAACCTCTCCAGTCGATGATGTAGGTCATTGTCATTGTCTTTGCTTTGTTTAAATGACAGTAGAGGTATTCTTTTGACACATTAATATAACCGACGCCCATTAGAACTGTTACACGACCCTCATGCATTTCGTAGTCTAAATGGTAAAAGAAGATAAAATGCTTCGATATATGTTTAAAGCATAATATCTTAGCAGAGGAAACTTATGTAAGATTAAGCAAAGGTTTGTAATCGCATTTGTTTTATACTAATGTGGTAGTAAAATCTCCGGATGTTTAAACACTAGGGGATCGGGCGTAACTACTTAAGTAGCAAACTGTAAAGAAACAGTTTCACCAAGGTTGCTCAACGCTCTTAAACAGATGCCAAAGTGAAAGAATTACGGAAATGGGAGTTTGCATGTAACTGTCTTAACTAATTATTTGCCCCTTCATTATTTAAATGAAGTGAAAACCTCAGATCTCGGCTGGTCGTGTATGATTCGTGACCATTTTCTGAGGCTTTCATCATGCATCAGTCTTACACAATGATGCATTAATTTGGTATAAATATTTTTTTAATGGAAGTTATTCTTCCCTTTTTTCATGCCAGTGCTGATGAATGAATAGCAAATGTAATTTTAATAATGAACTTAACAACAACTTTTGATATTTGCGGTGCATGAGGATAACAAGTCTTCAGTGGAGAAGTCACTTACAACATCTGCTCAGTCGTATTAGGTGAATGGATCGCAATCCCAAGCAGAGAAGCCGCCCAGACCTGTAACACCTAATCTTTAAATGCAAACAATAATTAGGTGAATATTTGACATTGAAATCTAATGAGTTAGGCTAAAGTACATTTAAGCCTGTCTCACATTGTCTAAGTCCGATACTTGGCCATTGAGGGTAAAGTTTAGGTAGACCGTTTTGCTGTTTGCACAGATATCGAGCCTTGTGCCCTCTTTCACATAAAAGCCAGCTAAAATGGAATGTTTTGGTTAGAAATTGAAGGTCAATTTTTGTTTGAGAAAACGTACAGGATTTTCAGGGAAGAAGGACTTTGACGGGGTGTGGCATAGGTAAACGTACGGATACTCTCATCCTCAGCTTTATGAATGGAAATTGGATATTCGCTTGCTAGCACGGCATAGGAAATTTTCTCAACGCTCGGTACAGTTAGGCTTGTCGAATAATAATCATCATCTAAAAGGAAAGTTTAGCGCAGAGATTGTCTGTCTGAATGCAGGCCACCGTGACGTTCGCGGAGAAAGTGCATGCGATATAAAATTTGAAAAAATGTATATTTTCTTAGTCCACTGCTTCTGATGCGAATCAATAAAGGTTAAGACGTAAAAGGAGATTTTCAAAGAAGGGCAGTTGTTTATAGGATTTAAAGATTAAAAGTAATCGTACGTCGAGTGTAGGGACAACGGAAGTATCCTTCACTGTACGAACACCATCCTTTCGCCCATATATATGTCCAGAATTTTTCATTTCCAATATATCCTTCCTTTAAGATACACAAGCAGACTATGGAATCACTTATGAAACAGTTGTCCAAAGTGTCACGTGTAATTTGCATTATCAGACAAATGTCGTGGCAAATCATAATACAAAAATATCCAACTCACCTCATAACTTTCCACTATCGGTACCTCCAACGTTATGTCTCCAGTGGCATTCTTCGGAATTATTCGTTGGCTCCAAGTACACAATGAGTTTCCTCTACTGCAAGATAACGTTACTGCTGTGACACTTTGTCTAACAATCATTATCACTAATTCATTAATTATAACATAAAACGGCGTTGTTTGAAGTTCGTTTGCCTTTATTAAACCGTCATTTTCTGGGGAATTATGGAGTACTTCTTCGGGCAATGTAAGAAATACTCTATGATGTCTTCAAGTTTGTCGTTTTCCAAGAGTGATGTTAAGTATTGACTTAGCATTCGAACGGTTAATATAATATATTGTTTTTAATTTGAATGCAGTTGGTTGTCAAATTTTCGTATTTTCAGAGAACATTCTCGTAGAAAGAAGATCAATTTACGCTGCTCACTTATTTTGTAAGCCAGAACATCTTGCATATGGATCTACTGAGGAGGTTCCACATTTTGCTTATAAGGTAGGGATTTTATTCAAAAAAATATTAACAGTTGACATTTTTCTGTTATAAGGACTATTTCTACGAATATTTACATCAAAATTAAAAGAACCGTATCTGTCCGCCTGTTAGATATTCCATAAAATCACAAACGAAACATGTTTGCGTTACTATAGCAGGGTCAATTTTCGTGAAAGCACATTAGGCATGCACGTACCTCATGTGAAAGTGGAACGACATTGCCACCAAACTGAGGATAAGAAGGAAAGCTTTCGTCTGCATGTTCTCAGAAGTAAATGCTATTCAGACTGCACACACTTTTATATTACGAGGAAACTTGTTTTTGCCACCCATCATGTAACATCATTGGCTTACACAAAAAACAGGCGTTAGACATTTATTTTCTCATACACAGCTTTTCTCAACAGCCATGGAAATATTTATGCTGTGTAAATTAAACCAATGATTTCTTTCCGCATTTAGTGATGTGAGAGCTGGAAAACAGTCTGTACCTCTCGCCAGTCAGAACGCACAGATTGACTGCGTGCATCAACAAATCTTAATTAGCTACGTGTTTTGACGTGGATGGATCTGTTATGATTGAATGTAGGAATAAAGATCGAAGGATTATTTAGTTGAAATGTAATAGCTTAACTCGGCTTAATCGTTTGGAACCCTTATACTGTACACTTATCCGAAGGACTGATAATGCGCGACGGTTAAGTCAAGACCACGGCAAGTTTACGAATGACAATTTAAGAAATTTCGTTGAAGATAAAACCACTTCTGAAACTGGAATGTAAGAAGTAACAGTCCATTCTGTAAAACCGCCAAAACGCCGATGTTCCACTACGATTAAATTTGACCGAAATCCGGTTTATGCTTATAAACCGACAAGCGAGCTGTTCGAATCCCAAGTCATTCCGGAGAAGTTGTGTATTTTTCTTTAGTAGCACAATGGCAGAAAAATTTTAAATTCTCGGCTTTATCAAATACTATCTAGAAACTGATCTTGCAAACGCAGAAATGAATGCAAATTTACTCATATTCCAACCTGGCAAAACGATCATAAAATGCTTGGCTATATTGAATGTTTATCGGAAGTCGAAATTCAAAAACCCCAGAGGAAATACACATAATAAATTTCTTTCTGGAAAGATGCAAGTGTCCTCAGGCATCCTGAGTGCATACTGAACAATGCTTAAGGCAGTAGGAGATTTAATTCGGAATTCTTTTCCAGCTAAATGTCTGCCAATGCACGTTATAAAAATCTGTTGAGTTGTGCACTGGTACGCCAGGTTCTGTTCAGACAATAATCAGTTATGGTAGATCGACGACTGCTGTTCCAAGCTTCACTCCCAAATCCTCTTTCTCAGATGACACACATTAGACAGCTTCTGTTTGAAAAGTAATGGCTCATATGTCTTGTGAGTCATCAAACTGAAATTTGAGTTGCACATGCGTCGACAATTTTCGCCGAATTCTAACTCATTTATTCTCCACGATGGTTTGCTCATTGCATCGTGCGGTCGGATTGAATTGCAATATCGTCGCCTAATGAGTATGTCTCTACAGTGCTCACTGGCATATTTTATCAATGTGCTCCGCGAATCATCGTACAATTTATTACTTGCCATTTTCCGTAATATTCTACACCTCCGGAAGTCGTCTTCGTACAGCAGGGTGCCATTTGAAGTAGGGTAGTTTATTGGCGTCATTCGCGTGGTACGAGCAGGCTGTGTTGGATTGTTGCGTTCGGGAAGAAGATTGCGGACGTCCAATCCTAATTTTGATGGTTTGTCTTATCACTGACGTCACAGACTGTGGTACGAGTGAATGTCCGTAGGTTGCACCATTTTCTCCTACGACGGCGTTGTCTTCTGGTCCATTCATTTCTTTCCGGCAGTAAGCCAGTTGATTGCAGAAATATGGGCGGTAATCAAACACCTTTAACAGAGCCGTATGTAAATTATTGGTGATCGTCTTGCTTTTGGCCACTCGTACCTTTAGATTCGCAGTTTTCTTATCGTTCTTTTTGGCCAACTGCATGCGTACTCATGCTACTTTCATCTGAGAATATTGTACGCGTACCTCTTTAACATACAAATTCTCTCTCTTGTCGACTGGAAGTACCTGCTATAAGTAGAATTGCAGTCAACTACGTATTATATAGTCAATGTGTTATCGTCAGCAGGCGTATGAAGTCTCGAACGTATGAAACGAGGTTCTTTCACCCAGAGCTCATTCATGACTAGTCTTTATTATCTTAAACACATGCTAACCACCAAAGACCTCATGATCAATTAGGAACCGAGTCCCGAAAATAAAACTTGTAAATCTATTTGTCGAAAGTGTTCGTACAGAACCTTCAGATGGCAGGAATGGCTTATTTTTATTCGAAAATCACTCAATATTGCCGCTGACTCGAATGAATATGCACATTGTGGAGGAATGCTAGTGGCTGCTCGACGTATTTTTTGAGAAAATTTAGGTAAAACACTTATATGTATAAACAAAGATCACTCCCTCCTTCTAGCGGAAATTAAATAACTCCTGGTACAAAACATCGAACTTTCAGTCGTTGAATTTTACTCATCTGACTTGAGTCTGAGTAAAGGTATCAATGTCAGACGTCTAACTCGCAGTGCCACTTTTGACTTGGTGCAGATGTTCTTATATTACTTGCTCAAGTATATTGCGAAAACTACTTGTTTGACTTGGATCAGTGGCCATCTGAAAGAAAGAAGTATATTTAAAATATGTTCGGTCACAGATTTCTAAGTAAATATCTCAGACTATTAAACCGAACTAGACGTAACTATTATTGATGCTTCGGAACCATCAGTTGAGGGCGTTGCGGACATGCTGTAGTTTGAATGGCTGCAAACTTTCATCGCTGATCACTGTTGCACATGACAGAGGCAAGTGCGGATACATGTTAAGCTGGAAGTTTAATAATAAACTAAAATATACGAAATACACTTCTTACCGAGAAGCTTCAGAAAAACATCCAGTAAAATCTTCGTGCGTCGAAAATCTACCAGTCTAATCTCCTTTCAGACAGTTATGATGACGGTTCAATTTAGCGGGACTTTAACGTGCTAATTGTATTTATACTTCACTGTATTCTCATGGACAAAAAACTTAATGTGATATTTGAGGACAAATGAAATTTCAACTTACCGTCTCGTTCGTTTTTTCAAAAAAGCGTCACATTATGACTTGGCCGACTTCGGCCTGGAAATTGGCTGCCTGTTCGTGACATTTGCCACCCATACGGAGCTTGTTTGTTTCGTAAGGCCAATTGATCGGTGTGCGCCTTTTCCTGATTGAATATATATATATATATACAGTGCGTGACCTATCTCATGAAATGTTGGCTGAAATTCTGAAATGCGTTTTCGATTAGGAAGGATTACTTGGTCGCGGTTGTGATACTGATTATCTAAAGGCCTACTCTTATAACATTTTGGACTTGGCAGGATGTCGGCCTTTAAATGCACTTCTTTTCAATCTCCTGTAGAAAGCGTGCTTGGTAAAAATATTACTACTAATGTAGCATGCATTTTTCCCCTTAATTTTCGATGGTCTTGGAAATTCAAATGCATTATATAGAAACCAGAAACAAAAATATGCTTTCTTTTAGTCAATCAATAGAGAATCACGTCTTCTTTATATTTTATACTTAAGGAAGGAGTATAATTGGGTTTTAAAAAGTTTTCTAATTAACGAAAAATTGGAGCCTTATCATTCGTTGCATTAGCGCTTAGTGATTACACTATATAAGGATCATGCGTTCCACATAGAGAAAATCCCATATTTTTCTATGTCATTAAAGAGATATCATACAGAGTCCATACAATTTTGCAATGGATGCGGACCATGTTGCACATTTCATGAGGAGCAGTAGTAAACGGGCAGGTACGATGCTATGTGAATGGACATATCTTGGTCTTAAAAAGTATCATAATAAGAACCTTTTTTAAAACCTAATTATACTCCTTTCTTAAGTATAAAATATAGAAAAGACGTGATTCTCTATTGATTGACTAAAAGAAAGCATATTTTTGTTTCTTGTTTCTATAAAATATATTTGAATTTCCAAGACCATCGAAAATCAATGGAAAAAATGCATGCTACTTAAGTAGTCATTGTTTTACCAAGCACGCTTTCTACAGGAGAGTGGAAAGAAGTGCATATAAAAGCAGACATCCTGCCAAATCCAAAATGTTATAAGAGTAGCCTTAAGATAATCAGTATCACAACCGCGACCAAGTAATCCTTCCTAATCGAAAACGCATTTCAGAATTTCAGCCAACATTTCATGAGATAGGCCACTCACTGTATATATATTATGACAGATGCGCGCTCACCGATCAGTTTACAGAACATGCTCGTTCTGTTGTGCCTTGGGGCGAATTCAGGGAAGCGAAGGTACCATTTTGCTGATATGGCTGCTCTAATTTCAGCCAAATGTAATATTAAAGGAAGTTGGTTAATTTCTTTGAATTCGGGTTCTACAAAACTGTGTTTGTGCGTAATGAAAGACAAGGTAGTCTCAAGGAGAATGTTTTCGGGATTGACTAAATAGAAATATTGTAAAATTACGCGAGTAAATTTTGAGTAGGTTTAACAATCGAGTGTATTTTCGATTTCCCCTGTGTGCTGACATATTCATTTGAAATGATTTCACGTTTAGTCGGAATTTTTGAGCATCTGGAATTGGGAGTGAATGAGACCTAACAAGGTAGACATCTAAATTAGAAACTTGATGTCCCGCGTGTGCAGTCATACTCTTGTGCTTATTTTCGTAAACAGATATTAGTTTCTTCTGCCTGGCACTGCAAAAATAACCCAGCCAAGATAGAGAATGTAAAAAGAACTGGCAAACCATTCAATTGTTTGCTTATATGGTGTGGGCGTTCCTCTTCGCTACTCGGATAACAAAAGTTTATGGAGCTAAAACGCAGGGCGTGCTCCAAATGCTTAAGAGCAAACTTGATATCTTTCCTGGAGCAGCACGTGGTTAAATCGCGAATCCAACGTTAGGATTGTAAACAGGAATCACCTCCTGATCTCACATGCTGTGGCGATTTACAAGCAGCCGTAGAAACTGCCAAAACAACTTCCCAATAATTCGATGTTAGACTCTTGCGTTGGTGTTGCTTCGCAGATTTTTCAACTGGAACGATTATGAGTCAGCATGTTGTGTAACTGGCGTAGACGAAGGCTCGTAAGTATTTCAAATTACTCTGTATGATACACTTTTTAATAATTTTTTT